TATATATATATATATATAATATAAACCTTTTGCACAGAATTCAATACTGTTTAGGAATAAGCGTAAGGGACACCCTAAATATTTGCACTTACTCTTATTCAGCTTGTTTCCAAACAGTTGTGTATAAATATTTCGAAATATTTTTTCGTATAATCAAATTGTATAAATCTATTTTCCGGTGACCCCACAGAATAAAGTACAATATGGAGGTAGGAGGTCATTCAACAATTCCATGCGTTCAAATCTAAAGTCGATTGAAGTTTTCTTCTAAATAACTGATCTAGTTGGAAATAGATTTCATCTTACCTTAGATAAAGATTTGCAGTGATACTACCTTCAAAAACATAAAATTTTATTGACGTTCCTTGTATGAAACAAATGACATCAAACCAGAATTATCCCTCGTTGTTTCTGAAGGTATATATAACGTTGACTTTCTCTTTTTTCTTCTTTTTTAAAAACAATTAATGTCGTTTAAACCCCCAATTTAGTTACATCCATTTCTATCTCTATTTTTCTATAAGAAGTTTCTGACGTTTCTACGTTAAAGCCAACCAACTCGTTAATTTCGTCAACCTCTTTTTATTGCAAATTTACACTCTGGTCTTTTTCAACGAGTCAAAATTTATTACATTAGCTTTAAGCTTATGGAATTTAAACTTATTTATGGTAAAAGTTAAATTTTAGGTGAAGTTATTAAAATGCAATATTATTACCTGAAATAAAGCCCAAAATCGGAATATATATATATATATATATATATATATATATATATATATATATATATATATATATATATATATATATATATATATATATATATATATATATATATAGATATATACCGAACGTGTTGCATACTATACTTTTTGTACGCCCGTTAGTTTTTGGGTACATTTTCGCAAAACAACACGAATATATTGAATTGAATTGATGGCAAACGAAACTGACGTGGTAAAGTGACGCTTCCCGCACGCTAGATCGGTGGGTAATTAGGTATTTTAAAGTAATTTATATATAAAGGTTCTTTAGCTCGCAGGGTATTTTGAGGCTCATAAAAGAAGCACCGAAGACAAAAATGCTAATGTCGTCTATATTTGCAAAAGTAATTTCTTGTCGCTCTTGGTAATCATTTCCGTTTTCTATCGGTTAAACGATCGAATGTTTTTCATAAACCTTTAAACATTCCACGTAGGTGATCTCCGTAAATAAATAACATTAGGCGTCCCTATATAGCGACTATAAATCCTTCACCTATTCCGATTAAACTTTACTTTAATAACAAAAGAATGTCATTCCAAGGGCTGCTGGCATGTTGCTGACACTTCGTGAGTTCAATAGAATTTTTCGATTTTTTTTTAAAAATGCGAATTAATAATTTAATTTGGTGTAAAGCCGCCAGAGGTCTAAAAATTTTACCGTGTCTATGGCCCCCATAATACGGGTGCGTCAAATTTAATTTAGACAGTAAATCTTCTCAAAGCGGTTTTACAATGACAAAAATTACAGCAGACGGCGAACAGATTTTTCGTGTACATACGAACCTCATGGAAGTGTACGGTAAATGAAACAATAAGTTCGAAAAATGCCCCATTAGAAAATGTATCAACGAGTTCCTCCGGCTATATTGCCGCTTCCTACCGACAAATGAGCCGTAATGTCTTCATAAACTGATTGGATACGTATAATCTTCAAAGTCGCTTGATAATAATCTAAACGGACTACAACGGATGAATCGGATTAAATAAGTATAAATGTACACAGAAATCGTATATATTCTCCTTTACCGTTAATAGCGATTCTTACCATCAATTACGGCATATACCTACCTACACACGGGCGTAGCGCATCTTGTACGAATTTTCCTAACGCAATTGGATCTAAACGGGTAAGTTGTCCTTCTGGTGCTTTAGTACGTATCAAGTGACCACACCTTCTAAAACTACCGAAAATATGACTAGTAGAAGAGGAAGAATTTTCAAAATACCAAGACACCAAAATAGTCTTCAGAAACAAACCAGTTATTATTTGGTGCATCTCGCTATATGGACGTAAGATTTGGCAAAATATGTACGCCGTTAGTGGAACGTGTGTTAGACCTCATACTCTCTACCTATACAAATGGCAATCTGGTGTAATGCAATCAGTCACCTTTATCACTTAATCCAGTGATTGCCATTAAAAAGGAAAAAGAAGATTTAATTATAGCTTTTGGCCGCCGATTACCCTTATGCATCACTTTATCATTATACAGAATTAAAATTACCTAAGAAGTAAGGGATTTCAATAATCTCTTGATTAATTTGCGGAAAAAATATGTTGTTGCGCGGTAACGCGATTAAGCACGAAATTTATTAAGAGATTCTCAAAAATCTTCATTCTTTATAAATGAGGGAAATAAAGTCGAAAGAAATAATACATACAAACACTGTTTGTTACCACCCAACCAACCGAGGTAAGATTTCGAAGACTAAACTGTCCTTGCTTTAGGAAGAAACTGACAGGTTAAATGGTAGTTCTGGAATTTTGGATTCCGTGGAAAACATCAAACTGCGAAATCGCTTAAAGGTTATATATCGAAATATCGATGTTTTCACCTTGTGGTGGGAGATATGCGTAAATGAGTTAAATACATCACAAATCTGGAAAATACTGCAATTCGCCCAACAAATAGGTCAAATTTTAGAAACTCGGTCATATTAGGTCTTAGTACACCGCTTCAAATGTTGTTGCTGTTCAACAGAATAGTGCCTTAAAACTGATTTTGATATTGATTCAACTATATAATATTAATTTAATTATATTTAACTATTTGTTTGTTAGTAAAAAAAAGTTTCAACCACTCATAAATAATACGAACAACATAACACACATTATATTGTATTTATGAAAAAGGAAACCATTTTTAAGCAAATCTCCTCTAAACGGTTTTGCAAACGGATCTTCTACGCCGCTGCTAATACAGCTACGGCTAGGAGTTTTTCATTTTTAAGGCGAGTTCCATTTTTGGCGAAGTCCACTTGTTTCCCACATTATTTTAAGTTTGTTTGTGTGCGTGTGTGGATGTGTGTGTACTCGGCTGCGCTTTTTTCAATTAGCTCCTTACAAATTGTTTATACGTTTCCTATATTCGCTATTAACACAATGCTCTTCAAATGGATTTAATTGACTGACTGTGTACGTGCATTATATCGGTTGTAGATTAAAGAAATATGGTAAAAAATATCACCACAAAACAATTACATACATACAAACATGCTTAACGTGTACATCATCCGTAATTCTAACAACCGGATTTACGACAAACTATTAGTATTTATCGCTGAAAATGAAGAAACTTTCACAGTTTGTTGGTGTCTTGTGCAATCACCTCAACTCCAGACGAAATGATAACAAAACCCGGGGTCTGTGGGTCTCTTGATAGGTCATACATAAATACCGATCTAGCGTGCGGGAAGCGTCACTTTAACATGTCAGTTTCCTTTCCCACGGATCCGAGTCACTTCGGACCTTTCCGGGATTTTACCGCACGGGTTTGGGAGCAATCGGATGTTTTCGCACGGTTTCAATATTGACGTTTGTCATTTGTCATTGTCATTGTAAGAGTCATGTCAGTGAATGAATTCGTGTTGTTCTGCAAAAATGTAACCAAAAACTAATACACAGAAAAATGTTATGCAATATATCAGACAATTTAAATACTACATTCTATAATCTATAATTAAAATATAGTGGACTATTCGGTAAGTAAAGTGACATTTATAATTTAAGTTTCCCACAGAAATTTTACATACCGTTCGCATGAACTTTAGTGGTTTTTACAGTTTTTATATTAATATTTTGCCAAAACCAATTGTATCATTTTCAACTATCCATGTCTCATTATTACAAATAAAACAAAATTGAAGGTTAGGTCCCGCTTTTTCTTGCTTACACGATCTTAAAATTTTAATTATCTTAAAAGCTCTATCCTTGGATGGTTTTTCTTCCAATTACAGTTTCTTTCATTAAATGAACTACTTAATGATCAATTTAAAAAGTTAAATAAACAACACAACGTCTTAAAATTGTGTTTATTCCGCTCTTAATATGACATATCCACTAATACATCTTTCTCTGTCTAACGTACATAGTTAAAAAGAGACAATAGCAGAACCGTTCGGACCGATAAACGAATAGGTTTAATGGCCACTAATAAATATTTTGTTTGAACAGTACGAAATTTAGTAATTTAACGTTTTTGCAATCTCAAATCAACTAAAATGTGCAAAATGTATTGCTATCTCGAATTAAAAGTAGAAGAAGAAAAATTAGGTTGGTTTTGGCTGGATAAGTATTATTTTTTCTTATCTTTTTTTTATTACAAATCACGAATTTTTTTTTTTTTTTGCATTTGCTGGGCGTGATATTTCTACGTCTGTTATATATTTTATTATATCCTTGGTTTTGCTAAAAAATGAGAATCAAATGTATTATGTTTTCTTCTACTGCCTTTTGTTCGATTTTTTAAAGTCAATCTATTTGAAGTAATTATTCTGTTTCATTACATTTTTTGTAACAAAGTGTTTTTATTTACTTTGTAACTCAAATGAAATTCGGAACGCCAACATCGATTTAAGTCATTTTTTAATACCTTTTGCGGCGCGCAAACAACATTGACACCTTAAAGTATTTAGTAAAGAATTCGAATTTTAAACCCGAAATTTTAATGTGGTCCGTATTACCTAAACCTCTCAATTATAATTCTTGTTAGTATTAAATAAATTACTAACATGAAATGAATGACTGCGTGCCTTTTTGAAGTTATGTTTTTGAAGGCGATTGCGTTAATATTGGCTGGTGATACTTACTTTAAGCTTACAATCTACTGACGCCGCGCGAAATTTATTCCAAACGCTGGCCTTAATATACCTATTAGACTCTGCCCCCTGGTACAAAATGCAAATAACGCGATACACCAGACTCAGTTTGTCTTCACATGCGTTTCTGACTGATATAAGTGCACCATTTGCGCACGTCACCGTCGCAGTTTTCAATTGGCCGCCCGTCAAAAGCGCAACAATGCAGAGTTGGGTCCCTAGGGGGCATTTTCCGCGTGTTTGTACGGGGTGGTCAGTTAGTTAGGGGCTTATATTAAACGTCAGAAAGTATGCAATTTGCCAAACACGTTGCCCAACGAGAAATCCGTTTTCAAGGATATTGCGTAAGTTAAACGTGGCAGGTGAAAATCGAACTGCATTTTAATATAAACCATCCACACATTTTTTACTAGGTTTAGATGGAGTTCACTGTTTTTCCCAAATGTCACGATCAGCTGTTCCATATATCCCAGACATCAAACAAAGTAGGTCCATCTGAACGAATGGATATTTATTTTTATTTCAATTTAAACAACCGAGGCGGTAGGAGTCCAGAAGATTTGTAAATAGAAAGTTGATAGCTTGCCAAAAGTTTTTTTTTCCTCGGGCTTTAAAGGTATAATTAAAATGGAACACCCTATATATATATATATATATATATATATATATATATATATATATATATATATATATATATATATATATATATATATATATATATATATATATATATATATATATATATATATATATATATATATATATATATATATATATATATATATATATATATATATATATATATATATATATATATATATATATATGATGACACTATATTTCGGGATATCATCCGTTCGCTCGTTGAACTCCGACTGGAATCCTGCATCCGACTGGAATCCTGCAAATCTTGCATCCTACTGGAATCCTGCAGACGTTTCGCCAAAATCTCACTTGGCATCTTCAATGCTCGCGCTCCGAAAACACTTCGAGCGCGAGGATTGAAGATGCCAAGTGAGATTTTGGCGAAACGTCTGCAGGATTCCAGTAGGATGCAAGATTTGCAGGATTCCAGTCGGAGTTCAACGAGCGAACGGATGATATCCCGGAATATAGTGTCATCACATTTTTCCATCCGTGAATCAATACGTGAGATATATATATATATATATATATATATATATATATATATATATATATATATATATATATATATATATATATATATATATATATATATATATATATATATATATATATATATATATATATATATATATATATATATATATATATATATATATATATATATTGTTAGAATCCTTGCCAAAAATAAAGGTAACTTTTATACAAACTACTTATTCGAATTTTGTGTAATTTAGACAGAAATATCAAATTTTGACTATGACGGATGACTACTGACACCTAATTATTTTAAAGAATTTTAAGGATACTTGCAATGGGTGATGGGTCCTTTTTGTAGTTTTCTAGGTAAGGTAATACAGAAATTTATAGGTTTAGGAAATTAAAACATCATTTTTTATATCGTCAACGATGTACAATAATATGTATATTTATGATAGAAATTTAAAAATTTAAAACAAGTAACAGTAACAAGTAAAAGCAACAACCAACAGTAACTGTAACAACTAAAGTAAAAAGGAAGGTAAAACAGAATAAAAAATCTACAGTAGGTTATCAACATGTCCATCATTTGATATATACTTGCTGATTTTTAGGTTGAAACATGGTACAGCTCTAGAATCGCCTTAAAACAAAAAGAAAGAGGCAAAATTAAAATACAATTCCCTAAAATGGAACAAATTCAGTAAAACAAAGAAAATGTTTTTCCGAAACATTCTCGGACACGTCGATTAGTACTTGAAATTGCGTTTCCTTTTTTATGTAGAATACTCTATATAGCATGATATAACTTTGATATATGAAATAATCGGTTATTCTTTTAACTAGAAAGCGCAAATCAAGGAACACATGAGCTCCAAATTCGAAATTTTTATTCCTTGTATAAAAGAACTACCACAGGCAGTGAAATTTGTAGGGGCTTGTACCTTTTCTGAGGAACTATGGATCTTAGAAAAAATAAGTTTATACAAAAGTTTTATGGTTAAAATTAAATTTTAAAATTATTTATTTTTTATATATACAGGGTGTTCTATTTGTGCTGTACCAACATTAGTTTTAAAATTTAAATAGAAATAGAATATTTGGATATTTTTAGAATCCTTGCCAAAAATAACGGTCACTTTTATAGGAACTACTTATTCGAATTTTGTAGACAGACATTGGGATTACATATTTTTTTATGTCAAATTATGCTTATAGTAAATATGGTCTTCTATTGCTGGCGGTAATGACTACTTGATCAAATTTCAAACACATTTTTAAAAACTTCCTTCTAACGATATGCGATGACTAGGTATTTTAAAATTATACAGGGTGTCTTAAATTAAAGGACATTTTTTCAAAATTTCAACTTGCAGTATTCATTTTTTTTAAATGAAACGCCCATGTATTTGATATTTTTTCTCAAAGCAGCTCAAAATACCTAAAATATGGATATATTATACTATACCTAAATCTAATGGTTTTCGAAATTTTTAGGAATAAACTCGTTTTCGAAATATACTGACAGCTAATTATTTTAAATAATTGTATAATAACATATCTTTCTTATATTTTATTCAAATATCGCATATTTAAATAAAGTTTTCATTAATAGTAAAAAACTCCCATTTTTTTAAGGGCATAATAATATTTTTATGAAACACTTTTTACCCTAGTAGGCGCAACCAAATAAGTGTTTATAATTGTATTAAGTGACGTTATAATTAAGAGCCAAAGTTTGACAGATGTGATTTTAATAAAGCAATATTATTATTACTTAAGTTAAAAATGTATACGGTGCAAGAAGAACAGATACGCTTGAATGCTTTTTATCGAATTCGAAAAGTCCAGCTCTGGCTTTTAGATCGTAGAAAAGAAAGTGTCCTGTAAGGCGGATTCCAGAGAACAAGCTATTTCGAAAAATTTATGCAGTTTAGGCAAGATGGTAGCCTTCTGCATACGTCCAAGAAAAGACCACAAATTATAACAGAGGATATATAATAATGACACTTAATTATTTTAAGGAATTTTAAGGATTTTAGTAATGGGTGATGGGTCCTTTTTATAGTTATATAGGTAAGGTAATACAGAAATTTATAGGTTAGGAAATTAAAACGTTATCATTTTTGATATATACTTATGTTAGAAGTTTAAGAATTTAAAAGAAGTAACAATAACAAGTAAAAGCAACAAACAACAGTAACTGTAACAATTAAAGTAAAAAGGAGGGAAAAACAAAATAGAAAATCTACAGTAGGTTTTCAACATGTCCACCATTTTGAATAATGCACATTGTATAAACAAGTTCTATTTGGTTAATAGCATTAGAAAGAAAATTGGTGTTATTTAGTTGTACTACAGCTTCTCTAATACACATTTGTAGTTCATTTACCGTAGTGCATCTTTATATACCATATCCTTATTTGTCCCCCATAAAAGAAAGTCCAGTGGGGTAAGATCTGGACTTCGAGGTGGCCACCAAATATTTCCATTTTGTCCTATCCAAAGATTGTAATTTTGATTTAAAAATTCATTCATATCGTTTTCCCGGTGGTAAGGAACGTGTAGAGTTTAAGTTTTCATTAATGAAAATTTCCTCTCTAGCAATGTGTGTTTTTCCGATTAAAAATTGGGGCTTTTGTATGAAAAATCGGCTCATCCTTCCAAATTATATGAAGCAAGGTGTTATCATCAAAATACATGTCCATTGAAATATTGCAGTAGAGTAATCTGGCCTCACAGCCCCGTTCCTCTAGGTAAAAAATTAAATGCTTTTTGCTTATTTAATATTAAACAATTTCCGAGTTCTTTTTACATCCAACTCCAACGCGGCTTGAGTGGAGGATTCTGGTATATTCTCAAAATGTAGTAGTTAATGCAACTGCTTCTCCTCTTTTATAACTTGTGGTCTTTTCTTGGACTTTTGCAGAAGGCTACCTTGCCTAAACTCTGCATACATTTTTCCAAATAGCTTCTTCTCTGGAATCCGCCTTACAGGAAACTTTCTTTGATACGATTTAAGAGTCAGAGCTAGACATTTAAAACTAATGTTGGTCCAGCACAAATAGAACACCCTGTATAAATAAAAAATAAATAATTTTAAAATCTAATTTAAGCCATAAAACTTTTGTATACATTTTTTTTCTAAAATCAGTAGTTCCTCAGAAAAGGTACAAGCCTCTAATAAAGTGCCCAACCTGTACCTGCAAGTTTCATACCTGTGACAACGAATAAAAATTTCGAATTTGGAGTTCATGTGTACCTTGATTTGTCCTTGGAAAAAATATGGTTTCTAGTTAAAAGAATAGCCGATTACTGCATATATCAAAGTTTTATCACGCTATATAGAGCATTTAACATCAAAAAGGAAAAGCAATTTCAAATACTAATCGGCATGTCCAAGCATTGCTCAGAAAAACATTTTCTTTGTTTTACTGAATTTGTTCCAAGTTAGAGAATTGTATTTTAATTTTGTCATTTTTTTTGTTTTAAGGCGATTCTAGCGCTGTACCATATTTCAACCTAAAATCAGAAAGTACATATCAAATGACTTGTATTAATTTGTAAAAAATCTTCTTTTTTCGACAAGGTTTTGACCAAGAAATGAACCGCTATTTTAAAAATGTAATTTATATTTGGAAAAAAGCAAGAGAACAATTTTTTTCGTGTTTCTATGTGGGCCGCTAACAAATTTCCACAAAATATCTAAAGCAGTTTTAATGAAAATGAGGAAGAACGGTTTTTTCCTTGCAATCAAAAGGAGAGGAATCGCGAACTTCGAAATAAACTTTTTTCTTCATATCATCCAAAGGAATCACACCCAAATTTAGAGTAAATTTCCTTGCCAATTTCCATTGTGTTGGTTTTAATTTCTTTCAATGTTGTAGATGCTGCAACACATATCAAAATGTATATCTAATCTGCAATCCACTTGGTTCACTGCGAAGTAAAAATTGAACCGTTTAAACAAAGGATAAAATCTTAATAGCACTGTCACATCCGGCTGGCAAACACGACAAACGCGTCCGTCGGCAAAATAAATCTCGCGCTTTTAAACAAAAATAACCTTTTGTCCTGTCCGTCCTGATTCATCTCCATTCGGTCATCGAGTAGACAATTAAGCATTCGAATGGAAAAATATTGCAGTAACGTGAAAGGAACAAATTGTGAAACCATGAACGTATATTGTCACTCTAGGCATTCATTGTGTACTCACATTGGATTGCCATTTGACTCTTAGCAGCCTTAAATACGGTGTTCCTTGAGTTGAGTTTTCTGAAATCTTTTTTTCAACAACTAGCAAATGCAATTTTATATAATATTTAAAGCACTCTGCTGGGATATTTCGTGATATTAGCGGGGCATTTGACTGTATGAACCGCGAAATTCTTTTGAATAGGATGGAACAATGGAATTCGTGGAAAACCTGTGAACTGGTTTAACTCTGGAAGATAAAACACTTGTTCAAATATCCGAGCTTAAAATTAGTAACATATTAGTATAACCACAGTGAGAGTGTATTACTATTTACATGTAGTTTTAAAAATTCTTGGATTGTCACTAAGTTTTTCTTTTTCAGTTTTTTACTATCCACGTGACTTACGTTTTCCTTCTAACCCGACGTTTACAGGATTAGTTCAAAGATTCATTAAGTTTATCCAAATGTCGCGATATTAAGAGTCGCACCATGACCCTTAATGTCACTCTGGAAGATTGAGCAAGGAATCACGTGTGCGCGTTTTTATTTACAACAGAGAAAACTAAGAACAGTTTGTTAACTTATGAAAAAATCCAGTCTTTTGATCTTGCAGGCCATTGATTGATCCGCTTCTAACAATCCACTGCCCCGCAAATACAGTATTTAAATACTCACGCCCTTGTTGGGCAAAATGGGACGGAGCATCATCCTGTTGAAACCAAATTCGTCTCTTTGGCATATCAGCCTGATTTGGATTTAGGAAAGAGACTGCGAGAATAGGAATTAACTCGTTTCACTAATCACTAAACCGTCTCTGACGATGAAAAAATAAATGTCAGTGGCACATTTGCATCACAGTATCACAAAACTGTAATCTGAGGTCGGGATAATTTTCATTCAACTCCTGTGGTAATGTAATCTAACACACGCAAAGTTGTTCATTGACTAGAAGCTACATCATAAGATGCAGGATGGGGATTATCCTTAACTTATAATAAAATGTTTAATCTTGTGTTTTAATTAGTTTTTGTTGTTTTGTTGTTTACTACAATGGACAAGAAAAAATGATGTTAAACGTGTACCAACATTTTTCTTGCAATCGATTTTTAAATGAATTTATTCCATATTTTTAAACTACAAAGCTGATTTCGCTCTATCTACTAAGTAATTCATTTAAGGTAATTAATAACTTATCGATAATATTATTAATTACTTCTTTAATTAATAATTAATTAATAGGTATAATAAGTTCAATATTAAATATTCATGGGTCATGTTAGAAACTTAACAAAATTAGTGATGCGTAAGGGATATTTTGTAGATAACAATTAGCAAACCGTATGAAAAAATAGATTTTAGTGGCACATTTCCATCACAGTATCACAAAACTGTAGTCCGAGGTAAGGATAATTTTCATACTTCATAAGAAGCACGATGGGGATTATCCTTAACTTATAATAAAATGTTTAATCTTATGCTCTCATTAGTTTTTGTTGTTTTACTGTTTACTATAATGGGCAAGAAAAAATTATGTTAAACGTGTACCAACATTTTTCTTGCAATCGAATACCTGATTTTTAAATGAATTTATTCCATATTTTTAAACTACAAAGCTGATTTCGCTCTATCTACTAAGTAATTCATTTAAAGTAATTAATTGATTACCGATAATATTATTAATAATTTATATAATTAATAAATAATTAACAAGTTTAATAAGTTTAATAATTTAGAAATTTAACAGAATTAGTGATGCGTAAGGGATATTTTGTAGATAACAATTAGCAAACCGTGTTTGCAAAGAATAAAATAAACAGTAACAATAAAATTAAGTTGAGTTCTAGGAGAATCTTTTGCAGATTATTTAATTAATTACACTTAATTTTATTAGAATCGACAAAACATTTATGAGTTTTTCATTGTTATAAACAAAACCCATAATTCAAAAATGTGAAAATAACAATTGTTTTTTATTCATAACGTTTCAATCCTGGCAACCAAAAAATGGAGACAGTTACCAAAAATCTTATTTTCTACTTTTTATGGAAAAAATAACGGGGCATATACAAAGTGTGACTCCTTAACTAACCAAAACTCTCTTGCTATCTTGTCACGATACTGTGTCCTGATTGCTAAAATAATCACAAATCTTTTCTCTAACCATTTTTGCATCGTGGAAGCTTACATCAAATGAGGATCGCACGGATGTGTTTAATTTTGAAGACATTTCCGTAAAATATTATTTAATACAAACGACCTTATCAACGCTTTTTACAAAACTTCTGGATTCCGTCTGCGTCGGTTTTTGCTTAGTCGAAATTGTTGACGTTTCGAAAATTATCCTGTTGGCTTCTTCAGAGCTTGACTGAAACTGACCGACCGTATCAATGTTTTCTATCTTCGGCACGATCTGAAAATGTGATAGCTGTATTTTCCTTTACTATTCCTTTTTATTGAAATGCAAAGAAGCAAGGAAGTCTTCCTCCCTGACAGAAAGACTGAAATTTTAACAATAAAATCGAGACGTGTGCACACACTATCTGTTCAGTTTGTCATACAATTTGAAAGGCCATTTTATCGTTGAACATTGCCTTTTTCCTTCTGTGCACGCCAATGGGCCGAACTATCGAATCGAACAGGACCGGTCGCCAAAAACGGGTGGGATCATTAAAAGTATTTATGTTACTCTTAACTTGTAATATACGGCTTATTTAACGTGGAAACAGTTGTAAAAACTGATATAATACGGCCTGGACCTTTAGTCTCGGTTCAGTTTTATCTTTATGATGCACGTCTTGAGGTTCAGATGGAATTCAACGTTTTCTTTTTGCCATGTCCCGCGGTTCCGAGTCGAAAATCGAGGCGGGGTTCGTACTCATTAAAAATCCACACTGGATTATCTTAATTTTAGTGATTACTATAATGAGTAGTTATAGCGTAGTCACAACTGTTGGTTGCAATGACATTTTTTCTGTTATATTTGATGTTAAGCGACAAAAGGAGGGTCTTAAGAATAATGTATGAGGTATAATACGAAAATGTGACCAGATAAGGTGCTGAACGACCGAATTTTCATGTAACAGAGCAAATCGTGTTTTCTACTGATGTTAATTCACCTACAGATACAGTAAAATTTCAAGCTGACTTAAACAAATTTTCTGAGTAATCCCAAAAAACCTAAAAAATATACAGGGTTGTTCACGGAGGGTGTCCTATTAGATCTTTATTTAGAATAACTTACGGTAAATAACTGAAATGCTGTATGTAAAATATTTTTGGTCATGCTGTGTTGCCAGATATACTCGTAATATATTTGTTCAAAGAAACTTCCACAGGCTACTGGAATACCTTTTACAAAACTTCTGGATTCCTCCTCCGTCGGTTTTTGCTGATTCGAACGTCGCAAGTTCGACTCAGCAAAAATCCACGCAGGAGGGTTCAAGAAGATAATCCATGTTACGTGGGAATTTTAAATGGACCATCACATATTTTATATTGGTACGTAAATAAGTAGTTATTTGCCATCTAAAAGTACTAAACTATGGAATATCTATTTTCACTGGTATTCGAGTTATAAGCAAAAAACCAAAATATTGCAATTACAACGAATTAAAGTCAGGAAATTTCATTTGGGCCGGCCATGGTGACGTTTTTTGTAAACAAATTTCTCTTTTACATAAATAAGCTTAATATCCCGTTATTAGCTTGTTTAAATAAGTAATTGTTACTGTGAAAATTTAATATTCATATAAACTTTTTTTTGGTTGTTTTGCAATTGCAAACAACTAGATATTATGCTTGAAATGGATTGACTTCATAACATTTAAAACTGCTGCCCTTTGAATTTCGTTGGGATCAAATTGTTGAAAAGCCTGTCTGACACGGCGTTCCAAATCCAAAGGGAGTTTTGGTTAGTTTTGGTTAGTTTTTCGTAGACGTAGACGCCGTATTCATCGGTTTTCAAACATGATTGTAAGTTCTTGACTTATTCTATTTGTGCAATGAGTTGGAGCGTCATCAAATCTGTAATACTGTTCCTAAAATATCCAGATATTAACATACAGAAATTAGATATTATTATACATTAGATACAGAAATCTATTTCCATCATCAAACAAAACAAATTGGTAATAAATGTATGTTCAAATCGCTTTTCTTGTACAAATTTTGGATTTTCTGATGAACAAAAATGATTATTACTTCTGTTAAAAATACTCTCCCGTGAAAATTTTGATTCGTCGGTCCAGATAATTCTTTATAAAAAATCTGGATCTCCTGGTATTCTACCAATATTATCTAACAAAACAAAGAAGAGATTGTAATGTAATTGTGTTGTAATTATATGTATATGTATTGCTATGCTAAAAAAGTTGCTTTCATTTTCTTCTGAGTGTGTAACATGTTTTGAAAGTAGGTTTCGAAGATTGGCTTTAATTCTTTAACTTTTTGTATTGCATTAATGGCAAATTCGGATAATGTTCAGTAACTCCTCCGCACATTCTTGAAATAAATAAATAAATAAAGCACCATTAAGTTTATTTAGACTTCATAAATTCTAAACTCCACCCCTCTAAATCGCTTTGACTTTCAAAGGACGGGCTATTACAGCAGACAGTCGGGTTCCGCCAAATTTAAACGCTGCCATCTGCAATTGACATTTTCCGTCCCTCCATTCTTAAAATACAAGTATTTATCTGGCATTTCTCTCGTCGCCTTACCGAAAATAACCCTGCGTAATTAAACCCGAATAAGGGGGAGATTATATGCATAGATATTTCCCGAAGGAATGGGGGACACTATGGTTAATGTGGCGTCCAATGAAAATTTTAAATTGCACCGATATTTTACCATCTTGTAACAAAGGACTTTCGGATTGTTTTTTGTCATCACACAGGAGCTTTGAACAATATGATTAATATGGAAGGTTATAAACAAAAATGTTCAGAGCTCTACCATCATCATAGATTATTATGTAAGTCAGGATAATGTCCACCTCTGCCAGAGGTTGGACAAATCTTGGGCCGATAGATAAAACAGGTATACATTTCTTTTATATATTTTTATATAACAAGTAACGTTTTTTTGTAAATAATAAAGAAAAACGATATTAAAATAAATTATTTTTTTATTCAGTAAAAAAGTGGAATCCTGGTTAAAAAATATGAGAAAAAAAAAACTTCACTCAGACTTTTTCGAGTAATATCTTCGTCTTTTTGCCAGAAAGTTGCGTTGTGCGGTCATTCGGCTGTGTCATTGTTATACTCCATCTGCCTTCGTGTCGCCGTTCAATTTCCTTAATGTCCAGGTGAAACCTCTCTCCCGATTCTTCGCTAACTGCTCCAAAATTTTCAGTGTGAAAACAGGAAATGCGCTTTCAAACTCGTATTACAACCTAGACGATGAAGTGTTGTGACATATTTTGAACAATCTTTTGTAGTTTTCGTCCTTACAGTTCCCAAGAAACTTAACAATGACTTTTTTTAAATGAAACCCAGGCGTCTTTCTCGATATTGGTCATTGTGTTTTGAAAATCCTTGTCTTTACTGCGGCCCAACAAAAATGCTTTCTTTTATCTTGCAATCAGATATGGCTGGAAATTTCTCGCACAAATATTTGAAACACTATCCATTTTTATCTAAGGCTTTAACAAACTGCTTCATCAAGCCAACTTTGATATGAAGAGCAGGTAGTAAAACTTTTTTGGGTTCAACTTAATTCCTTTTTGGTAGCAAGTATAAGGTTTGTTCTAGAGGCCCATTCTATTTGAGTTCAATGAGCATGCACAGTACTTTAAGCATAATATTTTTGTTATTTTATTTTCTTCAAAAGAAGTCCTAAATTTTTATACGTTCTTTTAAATATAACGAATGTGCAACGGGAACCGAGGTCAGTTTGTTACAATTGTGCCATAAAACGCCATTCTTCTTTTATATGCGGCAATTATTGTTGCAATACACTAGCGTCCTTCCTGAGTAAAATATTGAGACAACTCTTTTTCGCGATCCCAGTAAAAACTTGATGTGACGCCAGGTGCCAGTGAAAGTTTGTCACGAAGTCTGGACGCTAACAATTCGGACGTATCCTTTGGAAGGTGCAAATCTCTAATTAAATCATTTAATTCAATCTGAAATCTTCTGTGAAATCTGAGTCATCTAGGTCGGAATTAGATCCATCTGATTCGGACCATAGTTGTTTTGAGGCGGTAGGTATCGGTCCATGAGGAACTGGTAGAATAGCAGAGGCAAGATTGGATACAAAATTTGTTTCTTTTTTTTTCTGTTGAATTAAATGAACATTACACGAACAAAAATAACAATCATCACTGTGATTCCTAGGCTCTCGCCATACCATAGGAACACCAAAGCTTAATCATTTCTTCCTACCTTTTTGGCAGTTTCGTAATGCTTCAACGCAAACGGAACAAACAGTATAAGGAGCCTAGGACTTGTCCTGGTCGCCAATATTTACACCAAAATACGAGTAGTATACATTTTTCACAAAATAATTTATAGTTTGCCTTTGCTTTACGATATAACTACCACAGATATAACAATAGTATATTATGCAACAAGTGCGGTAAATGGCATTTGACTCACGAGTTTATTTGACACGAGCGGAGCGCAGCGGAGCGAGTTTTTAATAAACGAGTGACTTAAAAAGTTTACCGCACGTGCTGCATACTATACTTTTTCTACGATCGTTAGTTTTGGGTACATTTTCGCAAAACAACACGAACACATTCACTGACATGGCCGTCATAATTGACAAACGTCGCAATTCAAGGCGTGGGAAATATCTTTCAAAACATCCGATTGCTCCTAAACCTGTGCGGTAAAATCCCGGAAATGTCCGAAGTGGCTCGGATTCGTGGGAAACGAAACTGACATGAAAAAGTGACGCTTCCCGCACGTTAAATTGTGTAATTAGGTATTTTACAGACGGGAGTAGAAAATCTGTATATTATGCAACAAATGCGGTAAGCGGCATTTGACTCACGAGTTTATTTGACACGAGCAGAGCGCACCAGTGCGACCGTTAGTTGTTGGGTACATTTTCGCAAAATGTCCGAAGTAGCTCGGGTCCGTGGGAAGCGAAACTGACGTGGTAAAATGCTTCCCGCACTCTAGGTTGGTGTGTAATTAGGTATTTTACAGACGGGAGTAGAAAAAAGTGATTTGAATTGTTGACACAATGTCTTCTTTCCATATTTATACGTTCTAGAACACTAGAAATAGACAACAACGAAGACATCAGCCGCGAAACCAGTAGCAGGACGAATAATACAACCAAAGTGCGCATAAGCTGGTTACAACGCTGTATTGACACTTCTGTGCCAACTGTGTTGTTTTGCAGAAAAATCTAATATTATCCAGTGTATCCAAATCACATTTAATTTCATAAAAATCAATTCATTTAAAAATCATGCCTAATATGGAACAAATATATTCATGTCATAGGCATGTATATTAATAAAATAACATATTGAAGATATAGAGCGCTATAAACAAAATGACGTGATAGACAAATATATTGCTTTTTTTGGAAAAAGGGCTCCCAAAAGAAACAAATAAGCAAACAGCTTTCAAGCATCAACATCACTGTAGACCTGTGTAATCTAGAAATTCCATTGTTCCTTGTTATAATTAAGCGAAATTGCCTGATGGATTGACCTTGAACTCTTCCTTCCTAGTTTTGTCATGGATTTTTTGTCGAAAACTTGAGATATGCTGACGACACTGTCATGATTAGTTGGTCTTAACGTGTTCCTGAAACAACAGAGATACACAAAACTGTTGGTTACAGGCAATGAAAACAACATTAGATCCACGTTGGAAGTAAATAAATTAAATCAGTAGAATCATATCGCTTTGTCACCTCAATAAGTGCAGGCAACCAGTATATAAGGTTCTGCAAATAGCGTTGATAGTCACACTTCGTAGAGTATATAATAAATACCTACTTGCTAGAATTGGTGTCTGATTTACCAACAGATTCGATTTCCTGCATTCCACGAAAACTGAAGAAGAAAGGTGCACCATGTTAATGACGCTTTAGCGCCTACGCATTGCTGAATTGTTATTACAACGCAAGGATGTTTACGATTTTGTTTTGGCACCGCTAAGGGTCAAGTGTGTAACGTATTTACAATGGCAGGTAGCGGTAGCGGGTACTTGGAAATCGCAGTTATGAATTTTCTTCTTTGCGCAACATCATTGTGTTAACATAATTAGTAACGTAGAAAAGTTTTGGAGAACATTTATATATACATAACGATAAAAATATCCTCGCTCATTACGCCTGGATAGCGTTAGTAAAGTCTCCTCCCATAAAAATCTGTGGAGTTCATGCAATGTTACCGAAGTTGTTCTTTGATGGCAAATTTTGAACTAAATTAACTCTTTAAAATAACAACGTTATTTTTATGTTACTTCCATTATTGATTTGAGTCCCTAACGCAACGGTTCGTCACACTGATAAAATTTCTGTTCTGGTCTCCACTTTGAGATATATAACTTAAAAGAATTTACAGTAATCCTTCAGTGCTGTTGGTGCAGTTGGAGAAGTATCCTCATTAATATAGAGTACACGAAACAAAATTAAAAATGGAATCGGGAAACGATCGATATGATTTCCGATATATTCCTGGCAGGTCGTCGAGATTTCCTCAAGTTTGACAAGAAACTTAAAATCAACAAACCCTTAGACACTCAAGCTGGAACGTGAGAGAACTTCTTTTTTTGATGGTATTCAATTGGATATAAGTTTTTTTATTGGAAAAAGTGATGGGAATTTGTTCAGTTGCATTGATTTTCCCAACTGTGAAATGTGGATTTAACATAAAGGTTCGAAAAATATTTGACTACAATGTTGCTTTTAGTAAATATTCACAAGTATGTATGATTATTCACACATTGCGTCGTTGGGTCTGTAAAGCGGTGCCGCCAAAATCGCAAACCATTCGCTGTTTATTTATTATTGCAGAACGTTCAGAGTTTATCATATTTTCTCTAAGTAAATAAAAAAAACGTTTGTCAAAACGTACACCCATATACAAATACCGCCTTAATGAAAGTTAATTTGGTTTTGGTTAGTGTGTCCAATTTGTGAATAGTACATGTATTGATGGCTTTTTGCTTTCAATTGGTTTCATTCAATTGATTCAATTCAGCTTTTTGTCGCTGAGCAGTGGGTAACAATCGTAGCTATACTATCAATCAACCAGTACTCGACTAATTCAAAAAGACAAAATGATATTAAATCTAACAAATTAAGATTAAGATGACACTCTGAAGGCTCATGTAAGCAAGTAAAAAAACACCGTTAGTAATGGTATATTTGGGGTAGCGTTGTGAAAAGGCAACCCAGACATAAAACAATACATGGCTGTCAATATTTTTATGACAGAACAGTAACATCGTCAAAAATAGTGCTGTTATCAGTAAATTTTAGTAGCATAAGAATATCCACATTTGTTAGAAAACTGTCGAAAATAAAGTTAGTAAAATCCATTTGGGAAAATTTTAGGGCTTTATTGTTACTTTTATTTCGTTATCTTAATTCAATGTATGTTATACATGGTGAAAGGAAAAATAAAAATTTTAGAAATTGATTGTGGAAATATGCTTAAAAAAAGAAACTGACGTGTGCAAGTTTACACAACATCGCATTTCTTTTTATCTATAAATAAAAAATTTGACAAATTTGGCATTTATCATGAAGAAAATGTCTGTTTTTAGCACTATAACTACTGAACAGTAGGTCTACATCCTTCAGTTTGTAATATCGTCATCACTTTATACGGACAAGCTGTATATGTCTTAGGCACATTAAAGAATCCGTTTTTTTTTTACAAAAAACTACTCATATTATAAAACACTTATTCAAAACTGTGCGATTTGGATAATGATATTACTGAAAATGGTCAATTCAAAATACATTGATATAAACTGGCTGATCTATCAATTTGTTTTTCCAGTCTGTCCGTCGATTGCCAGCACTCACATCCATACGTTAGAATGGGC